CAGATACGCCATGCTAGACAATAATTACCGGATTGATATACACCGCTCATGACTAGAATGATCAGGTACACGAGCACTGAGGATAGATTCCTGCAATTGTCTCGGAAGAGATGATTATAATAGCGTTTTAAATCAGTACCTCGGGTGTAGAAACAAGTGTAGATCGGAGGGCGGACGCTCTTCTTGAATAATCTCATATGGCATAACTGGTAGATTACATCTTGCTGTACCCTCTCGTTAAATTACGTGTGCATCACGTATTCTTACATAATTTATTTCATTCCATTGATATAAATTATCGTAAAATTTTTTGTGAGATTTAAAAAAGATCGATTTTCGACTCGTTCTCCAATTCGTCCTAAAATTATTCTAAAAATAAAGATCGAGTTTTCTAAATTTCTGCATTTCATTCAAAATTTATACCCAGATAATTTAAAAGAGAACTTAACAAACAGACAGAAATTTAATTGGATAGATTTGGGCCAAAGATTATAAAGTGGACCATGTTCGATGAAAACGAACGAATAATGGCGCAATGGGTGTAAGATTTCGTGCCTGATAGAAGCGAGATGTAGCGCGAAGATGTTTTGGCTTCGGTAAGGAACGAGCCTCTTTCAGAAATCGGAGATGTAAATCCGAGGGCGAGTTAGGATATCTCCTCTTAGCTAACCCCCCCCAGCAACAGCATAACTGGCAGGTTATTACTCTTCTTCTGGCTTTCGTTCTGGAGCTCCACCGCGACCGCACAATAAAGTCAGCGTTTCTCGCGGGAAGAAACAGTTTTTAATGTCAAGGCGCCTTTGTTGAGGCTCTCTCCGGTAACATCTTTCTGCACTCTCTGGCCAGAGTTAAGAGGCGAGAAAGAGGCGCGTCGTATCGCGAATATAAGCGCGTTATCGAAATGTCCCGATTGGTACCCACCCAACCTTCTACTCAATCAAATGTCAAACGCGTAGCCTTGATTTTGCAAAAATTTCTATAACTAGTGTCGCTCCGAACTGAAACTTTCATTGAGAACCGAGAGTAATCTAAGTAACAAGTATTTCGGACTGAGAAAACAAATTTTCTCAGTCCGAATAATAATTTCTATTTTTAAATCTTAAATTTTAGGCACGCTCACATAATATCTACTGCTTTTCCAACATAATGGCAATCGTAAGGAGCGATGCATCGTTCGCGATGCATATCTCATTTTCCATAGAGATACAAATTGTTTTATTGAGACGCGAGGTCGATGCTGTAATTCACGGAGTTTATTGCGAGCGTAATCCTCTTCGTGGTACACCAAACAATGCAACAATTCTCGCTTGCAGAATGCTAAGAGACAAAAGAAAGGGTGGGCTCGTTCGACGTTAGAGTAAGATAGGATACATCCTAGATGTGCTTGAGCTTGTAGATAAAAAGGCCGTCATTGTTTGACTTGAGATTGCCCTAGAATGCGACGCAGCTCCGCATTTTATTGAAAATTTTATTGTAAATTAGTAGAATACACTTGACAATAAAAAATACTTTCTAAATGCGTACAAAAAGATGCTTAAAAATCACACAGAAAATCTAAGTATAAACATTAATGGCAGCATAAATTAACGGTATGAAACGTAATTCATTTTTAAGAATAAATTAATAATTAATTTAAATTAAAAAATTGTAACATTTTTTTTAAACATTTGGATTTTTGAATTTTCTATTTCTATTTAGTGAAGGAAAAGAAATTTAATAATATTGCTAGTTATATATATTTTTAATTATTCTTTCGTCGTTGTCAATTATTTGTGCGAGATTTGCACAAATGCTTGGATGATGATTATAGTATATTTTCTCGAATTTCGTGGAAAACATTGGTAAGGGCTCGCCTACGTTCTACGGGCATTTACGTTTCCGGCGATGTCTCGCGTGCGATCAGAGATATCGCTGATAAGAGAGAATTAACACGAATCCCAGCATTGGATTACATTACACGTACGTTGTACTGTTGTTTCCATTACACCTACGCACACAATGTAATTGCAAAACGTAGCGTGGTAAGATTAGTGGCGAAATTGCAAATATCATCGTTATTTGTATTTGAGAAATACGAACATGTGCGCGCGTGATTCCTCTTTTCCTTATTCTTATTTAAATACCACCTGCCAAACGTGCAGCGTGTTCCAGTCCTCGCTTTGCGCTTGTCATGTCTTTGTTTAATCCGGTTTGTTCCTCAAACCGCATTCTTACCGCGCTCTCATCATCGTCCATTTGCCTCGATTTATGTAAAGAGATAATTTAGACTCATCTCGAAGGCAGAAGAAAGAGACTATCAATTAGAGAGATGAAAGTAACTAATACACAGGTTTGCTAGAAAAATTTGCTACGATGTCTCGATGTAGCAAGAATTCGCTATGATATCCTGCACATTCAGCAGGATTATTCGGGAGTAATGTAAGTTTTTTTAATAAAGTATATAAAAAAGATTATACATATAAATAGGTAAAATATAAAAATAATCAATAAAGTAAATATAATTGCATATATATCTCGAGATTTTAACTTAACAAAATTTTAACTTTACGAAATATAAAGTAGAATCGATAAATATTTGTCTCTTAAAAAGATTATTATATATCGTAATGTCTTTTTAATTAATCGAACGTATAAAAGGATATACATAAATTTCCTTGTGAACAAGAGCAATATCTTTGATTATCGACAGTGCATTGCAGAAACCGCGCATGAAATATTTATAAGCGATTATTTTCTTAGTAATAATAATTATTATTTATAGTTAATAATAGTAATATAATTATTAATTATTATTTTATTAGTTATGCGCATAATTATTATTTTATTAGTTATGCGTCGCCAAGTATTCAGTTATACTCAGTCGCAAGATACCCACGCTTAACTTATCCGTTGATCTCCAAAGAATGCAGAATAAACACGTAATTACGTTCATATTTCGTTTAAAAATTTTTTTTCTTTTACTGAGCTGAAATATAAGACACGATTCACTGTTGGGAAAGACACTATAATCTAATTGATCGAATCCAATCTAATCCCTGAGCGATGAATTTCGTAGAAAAGATTGTTAAGAAAAATTGAAAAATAATAAATAAAATAATAAAATAATAAAAAAATAAAATAATGTATAGAAAATATACTTAATACAAGTTATGTTATCTTATACGTAAAAAGATTATATTATTAATTACAATAATATGTACATATTATTAAAAATTATATTATATTATAATTAATATTTAAATCTGCAACAACGCATTATTGCTTATGTTATTGTTACTTCATTTTTATTGTCATTGAATTTTATTGGTGAGCACGAAGTTTCATTTCAGTTGATACTTGAGGAAATTAATTTATTTTGTTAATTTTTTGTTTCTGCAATATTTATACACAGAAAAATATTATTCTGTTGTTAAGAAAAGTGATTGTACAATTTACTTTTTTTTAAGTAACGGTTGTCTTTAACAAAGAATATTTTCTCGATAATCTTAAATAATCATGAAATATCAATGCACATATCAGTATCAAAAATTTTAGAAAAACTCATTATCATGTATTCCACAGAAGAATTTATTTTTTTCTTCTAAAGTCAAAAAAATATTATAAAATTTTATCGAAGGACAATTAGGTTTGGTTAATTTTAATATTTTTGGCAAATAAGCAATTTTTTTAATTTAATTTGATATTCTTTATTTAAATATTATACTTGCTAGGCTTCAAAATATATTTTGAACAAATTTTACGTCTATGACGAATTAATAAATAGATAGATTATAGACTTGCCTGGATATATAAACTTTTGAAATACTTGAAAAAAACAAATAATATTTACTTAAACGCAGTGTGTATTTTTCTGAGTGTAGATTCCAAGAACTACTAGGAATGAAGAAGTTACGCAAAAACGATCCAAATCGGTCAAAGGACTAAAGGATGCATCAAGGTGTTCCGCCCGGGGTATGTTGCAAGAATCGGCGATGCACGGCGCAGCGAATCGCATTGCATCGGCTCATTGCAGTGAAAGGAATACGCCCTGTGATGATCCGCGGCGAATCCGGCGGCGGAGATTCTGTATCCCAACATGCGCGCATTATAGGAGATATTACGAGATGACGACGGTTTTCCCAGCGATGCCTATCCCTATCGTTAAACTGGAACTTACCAGGGATTTGTAACATATATGTAAACGTGCGTACACACAGACACAATGAATGCGGATTCATCCCAATGAACGAAGGATGAATTGGCAAGTACGAAATTAGCCCAATTAAGGCGTTAGATACGAATGCGGATGTTATGCGAGTTACAGAGAGTATGCTTTAATTAGATGCAGAAGCAATTATGATAAATTCTATGAATGTCTCAGGTGAAATTTTGTTTGAGTGGATTATGTCGGGTAAAATTATTATATGACGCACGCGCGCAGAATTTTAAAATATGTATTATCTTATATATATTTTTTTATTATGATCATGAGACATACGAATGAGTAATAGATAAGTAGATAATAGTTAAAATGTAAATTACACACACACACACACACACACACACACACACACACACAGATATATTGTACAGAGATATATACATACACATTAGAAAAGAATTACTTTTGACTAAAAGTAAACTTTTAAAAATTTGGCCAGATATAGTATTTAGAAAATTTAATTTTTATTTTAACATAC